CGTATGTGAATGTGCGTGGGGTACGTTCGCACGTGAGTGTCATGCGTTACGTGTGTGAACCGTGCTGAACTGGATAGAACCGGATGGGAACGGCGGTTTCACTCTAGAACCGTGCTGAATCGGATAGAAACCAGTAGTTTTCGATTTTTGGTTGGAACCGACATGGACACGCATGTTTTCGAGTCGAATCGGATTCGACTCGCCGTTTTTTAAAGCATTGATCATGACAATGCATCTACAAACTCCCTACTTTTGCAGACCGACATAAAAACATCCATCAGAGTTTGTAACTCCACTTTAACTACGAGTAAATTTCCATCAATTTATTCGATTGAGACCATCCATAGGACTTCGAGAGTCCAAAAGTTTACTTTAGCTTCCCATTATTTCCCATTGAACTTGCCTGAGAGAGAGAATGATTTTTAGAGAGAGATAATGCTTTTTAAAAGGAGAGAATTACTTTTTAACGAATGCCCAAAGTCAACCTGCCCACTTCACCGCCCATGTCACACTTCACTTCCCTATCATGAAAAATAATGTGCGTAGCACTCAAGGAACATCCCAATTTTTCATATTCAAGAAGAAATGCATCAATGACCGCCCTCTTCTGAAGGGTTCCCGGCCCAGGTCGAGCCGGGCCAAAAATAAATTAAAAAAAAGAAAAAAAAAAAGACAGGCTGGGCCGAATCGGATCGGCACTGGCCTTAGCCTGGCCCTCGGGTATGTGGTCCAGGTCCAAGTCTTTTAGGATTGAGTCAGGCTGGGAGCCACGAGGCCCATTGTCGGCCCGATGCTTGCTTTTGCATCCCTTGCATTTAATAAAGAAGCACACGTCTCTTGTTTTATCAAAGCCAATGAACCACATGTCTCTTGTTTTTTATCAAAGCGAATCACAACGGTCTCAACCGTATCTTTCTTGTGGGCTCTCAATCATATATATTGGGGATGATAAAGAGAGAGATCCATGTTTTTTACTTCCTTTAGATTGAGAAGACATATCTAAGATCATCTTCAGGTACAATAAGATATAGAGAGATCCCTTCCTCTCTTTAGATGGAGAGGACATCTAGAGATATTATTCATTATTTTTTCTTTAGTGGCAACAAAGATTTAAAAAGAGAGAGGGAGCATTTTTTAAGAGAGATTTTTTTTTTACCGTTTTTATTTTTAGTGAGAGAAGAAATCAAGAGACAGATCCCTGTTTAACTATATTTACACCGAGAAAGATTTTTTTTGCTGTTTATATAGAGAATAAATCTATAGAAGGATGAAAGATGAAGAGAAATCCAATGAGAGATTATGGGTTATTTTTATCCTTGGAGATAAGAAGATTGAGGGGAAGAGAGAGCGAGAGCATCCTTGGTGAGGGAGAAATCCTTATTTTTAATATTAAGATGGGTGTGGTTTGCATAGGTTGCAACTTTAAACAATCCATTTAAGTCGCAACTTTAAATTTTATCATAAATGTAATTTTGATAAAAAAATTTTTAGGATGATTTGAAAATTTAATTTTATTTTTAATTATAAAATTTTAAATTCTAAAAATAGTTCAAATTAAGTAGATCTATATACATATGAAAATCTTGAAAATTGACGGTTCAGATAATGTGTTGCAAGAACCACCATTTTGCGAGCTCGAAATCTTTTTTTTCATTTTATATTCTTACATCTTGATGTAGAGATGATCAATTAGACGGTTTTCCAACATCTAAACAACATTTTATGATGGATTTTTGATGTGTATATTTAATTCCACATTTTAAGATTGCAACATTATTTAAACTTTTTCCTTAAGATGGAGAAGAAATCTATGGAGATCTTTGGTAGTCTTAACTTTGGTCATAAGAAAATTAAGAGAGAGAGAGCCTTTTTCTACGCTTAGTGAGAGGAAAATGTATGGTAAAGCAGAGGGGCTTGGCCTTCGGGATAGAATCTGAATTAATAAAGTCAAGATTCTCATACGCCAAATTGTTTGGTATGCTTGTGCAAATGTACGTCTTACCCGTCAATTCATGATGAACAATGATGGGCGCACTCAAAAACAAAACCTAAAGGAAAACCGTTAATATTTACTTTCTTTGTTATTTTTTTTTCAACTTAAGGACGGAACTACCCTTGTAATCTAACTAATAAAACCAACCTTAATTCCTCATTAGCCAAAAAAAAAAAAAAGCCTTTTCTCTTTATCCGAGGTCTCAACTAAAGTTTATACTCCAAAAGGGTTAATTGATGTTAATTTAATTAAAATTTGAACGGAAATTTGAAATATGTCTTCTACATATTACTACATACTCAGGTTCCATACTCAGGTTCCACTTGCAAATAGCCTCATTGGAACCTGGGCGCTCCACTTCATAGAACCTCACAAAGGAACTCCACTAAAGGCCATGCGGGATAGGGCTGGCAATAGGTTGGGTGGTCTGGCTCTAAAAAATTAAGATTTAGGCTACAAATTAGGGCTCGAGAGTAAGGCTAGCCAAATTCAATCCGGCTCAACTCTCTTTGTTTATTATTTTTTTTTCAATTTTTAAATTTTATTTTTGGCTCGGCCTTGCTATTATGGGAACAAAGGCTGACCCAAGGCTAGGGTTGGCCTCAATTACGCTTGGCCAGATGCCAACCTTATCCGTAGGCACTTAATTTTAAACTTCCTTAGCTACATAACAAAATTGTAACTACATAATACTATTGTCTAAAGCATAATATAATCCTACAATGGGAGTTTCTCTCTCATTTACATATCAATTATAAAAAAAAGTAGTAACATATGCGTCATAGAGAGTGGGGGCCATATGGCCTTATTTTTATTTCAAGGGCAATTTGGTCAAATACTCAATGTTGAATGGGTGCGGTTTGTATAGAACCGAAGTTCTAAACAATTAAATTGGAGCCCACTTTCAAATAGTATCAAGAAATATGATTTCAATATTGAAAAGAGCCTTAAATTGTATTTTCATCTTTAGTTATAAAATTTAAAGCTTCAAAAATAATGTAGAACGAGCAAATCTATGAAAATTTGAAAATCTTGAAAATTGATAGGCCAAAAATGTATTACAAGATACATTACTTCCAAAACTTGAACTCTATTTTTTTTTTATGTCCCTGCATCTTGATGTCGAGATGATAAATTTGATAATATTTAGACATCAAAACAACTTATTCTAATAAAAATTTTGAGGTAGGCTCTAATTTGATTATTTAGAGCCTAGCCTCTATATAAAATTTTCCCATGTTTAAAAACACCACTAATTATTCACATTCAATCCTCACTTTCTGTGCTCATTGTCTTGTGCCAAAACTCAAAATTATTGTGCAAAAACTCAAAAGCCTGACCGCAACAAATCACTATCCTTTTCTTCTCTGCTATTTTCCCCCATTTTTCCACTATCGCCACCCATTTTACCACGTTGATGAATTTCTTTTCATGCTATTTGCTTTTTTGACCTTTTGCGTGCGAATAGCAAAATTTCGGTGCAAACAACAATTTTATTTTCCTTTTTCTGACACCCGCCACCGATATTTACCGTTTTGACCCTACACGAGTATACATCGCCATTTTTCACGGCGAAGAATCGCGTCACCGCAAAGAATCGCCGGCATAGTGCCTATCACCTGCTATTTTTAAGAATGGACAAAAGTAGCCATGGTTGAATATACAGGAAATCTAAAATGCGCAGAGAAAATCGAGAATATCTTGGACAAATCTGGAATCACGCGTTCGAGAAAATGAGAAAATGGCCTCGAAACCACATAATGTTGTCAAAAGGCGGTTTACCGGCACTTGAAAAACCCACCGTTTTTGTTTTACCGGTCTCAAAAGGAAAAGATTACAGGAGTGCCCCAAAGTTTGTACTAGAATGACAAGAATGCCCTTAAGGATTCTGAAATAGCCTCAGACCAAAATACTTTTAAGAGGACTAACATTTTTGGATGGGTGCTATAAGAATTACATGTTTTTTATAGGCGAACTAACATTTTTGCGTGTACCACCCAACACAAAAGTGGAATGCCAAAATCTAAACAATTTCAGATGTTAAAAAAAAAAAGTAAACAATTTCCAACTCCGTACACCTGCAAACCTATGAGCGAGGTTTGCATAAGGCACTTCTCTTGTAGACGTAAAACACACCTTTGAACTTTGGTTAAAGATGTCGTTTTGGTATTGGAAATCTTTTGTTGATTAGAAAATCTATTTCATCTATAATTATAATAAAATTTAAAAAATAATAAAAAACAAGTAAATCAATAAATATATGAAAATCTTGAAAATAGACCTGCCAACTAATTTGTTACAAGACGCATTGTTTTTAAGGTTTGAAATATTTTCTTCTACGTATCCAAACATCTTGAAGTCAAGAGAATCAATTGAGGTTCTCTAGTATCAGAACACTCTGTTCTAGAGGATTTTTGAAATGTGTATAGTGAGGTCTCTGACTTCATTCTCACAAAAGAGTAGGGGCCTAAATCCTAACTGACTTACTACTTTTTAAGAAAGGGGCCAGGTCATGGCAACAATACCATAACCATACTTATTTACCATGTTGTGGTTTTCAATCCTACTCACACTACCTACTGATACCATAAAAAAAGTCAACTCCCTAATCTATCTGAAAAAAATAGGTCGGCACATATCTTTCCCACTTAATTACCAAAAAAAAAGCTTATATAAAATTTGTCATTAACCTTCTTTGGTTTGTCTTTGTATTGAACAAAAGAAAGAATTTTTATATGGGATGTAGTCACAAAAATTAGGAAAAGATTTTACATTTCTCTTACAATATAAAAGAACTATCCTTTCCCCTGCGCAAATCTCGTGTAAACATAAAATTAATTGAAAAAACAGAGCAAAAGAAGTAATGGCGTCGTGCTGAAAGCGACGACAAGGATATTAAAGTCATTTCCACCATCTCTCGGGCAACAAAAGGACAGGGACGATTCCGTAAATTTCTCGTGAAACCATGGGCGTCCTCCACACTCCCCTGATAATTAATTACTATCAGGCGTTAAAAAATTGAGCGAGAGAGAGAGACGGAGCAATTGAGAGTGAGCGTGACCAGACAGTCACTCTCTGTATGACTTCCATTCTCTCTCTAACTTTTTCCTGGAACTTCCGCTCTACTCTCTGAAGCTTTCCCCTTTCACCTCTCTCTTTCTTTTAATCTTTCTCTCTCTACGGTCTTCGCTTCAATTCTCTTTCGAAATTCCACCCTTTCTCTCTCTAGAATCTTCGCTCTAACGTTCAGTCCCGCTCTGCAACTCCCAGTAAAAAGAGGAATGGGAAGAAAACCTCGAACGAGAGGACCCGGCAAACCAGTGATAAACCCTAGAATCGTATTCCACACAGTGCTTTTCACCTGCTAATCCAGCTCCTTATTTTCTTTAAATCCGCCTAAAATGGAGGCAATCATGGTGTCCTATGAGATCAGAGCTTGTGGGGTAGTCTAGTTCTAGTTCACCGTCAACGCCATTGCTCTTTGTAACATTCCTCTTCTTCTTCGTCTCCTCCTCTTTTTTATCTTCTTCTTCTTCATTGAAGAAGAGAGCATCTTCTTTGAAACAGAGAGAGAGATATGGAAAGTTGCAGAGCTTGGGTCAGGTTTGGGAGTTCAGAGCCTGCTAGAAAGAGGAGTGCAGTTTTAAGGACGAAACAGGCAGGAAGAGGATCTTGCAGAGGAAGCTAGTGTTTTGGGGTTTTCAATGAACATGGCCGGATATTGAAGCTGGTGATAGTTATTCTGCGTGTTTTTTCTGGCATAGTGACCATGGGGCTTTCGTTGAGAGAAGCTCTGAAGAGCTTTTGCAGTGAGGGTGGGTGGTCGTATGCTGTATTTTGGAAGCATGACTGCCGAAACCAAATGTAACTTTCATCAAAACTTTTCTTGTTTTTCATTGTCTTTGATTCTTTGGTGTTTTTTGTCTCTGATTTTCTTTGGTTTGGAGCAAAATGCAATGTTTTATGTTAGAGACATGAAATTCAATACTTTATTTTTTTGCGGGGTGAGCAATACTTCATTTGAGTCGTAAAAAATTGAAAGTCTTACTGTTTAACTGGCAGCTTTTGGAGTTCATTTTGCTGGTCTGGAGTAGGTGATGGGAATCCTTTTTTTCTTAACATTAGGAGTTTTTGGTGCCAATGTCACTTGCATGCATGTTAATATTTGATTTGATTTATTATTATTATTATTGTGTTGCATTTTTTGATTGCATGTGTTTTCTATTTGTTTGATCAATTAGCAATGTGTTAAAATTGTGGCTGTTATCTCTGTTGAATTCTATTAGTAGATAATTTTCCATGCAATTTCAGCTTTTATGGATGCTTAGATATTTTGGTATACTTCATTGGTCATTGGTCATTGCTTGGGAGAATTTCCCTTCATTTTTGTTGCTTCTCATGAAAAGCAAGATAGTGACTTGATGTTTGTCTATATTTTTTATCTTATATCCTTATTTCTATTTTGGGATTTTAGTGAACAACCTATCTGCCGAATTTTTAGGAAGACTGATAAAGCATTTCCTTAAAAGTGTGATTTGTTGAGTTTGAAACAAAAGAGATAAAATTTCTGTGGAAGAAAAAAATGAAACAAAGGACAGTTATGTAAGTCATTGAAAATGGCATCTATAGAAAGAAATCCCTTTTTCTTTTGCTTGGTTGGTTGAGTGCTATAAATATCATGTATTGTCAAAAGGCCCTTTAAGAGTTCAACGTGATAATAGAACCTTCAGCGTCATGACTAAAATTCCAAAAAATTACACCAAAAGTCTCTTAGGGGGGCATATTGCCTGCTCACCATCATTATCATCATCAATTCATCATCATCATCATCATCATCGTTTGAGACTTATCCCAAGTACTTGGGGTCGGCTACGTAAATCCTGTTCCAGCATTCTGCTTTATCAAGGGCCATACTTTTAGTTAGATCATAAATCACCATTTATTTTCTCACTACTTCCTTTCGTTTCCTTTTGAACCTTCCGCTTGTCCATTTGGAGCCTTCCACATGAACCAAATCACCTCCCTATGTTCGAAAATTCGGCCAGAGGGCCCTAGCCAAAATGCCTAGGCGGGTACCTTGGGGCATCCTTGCTCTTAGGCGCCTCCTAGGCAATGGCTTCAAATCGGGCGCCTTGGAACAACTTGGCCAAGGGTAGAAAAGGCCGTCAGCCAAGGGCATTAAAGTATTTTTCCCTCCTAAAAAGGGGCAAAAGAGTTTTTGGGGGCAATCCATCCCCTGAAACCCCCAAAAAAGCACAAGCCCAATCTTATTAAGCTTATTAAGAGCGCTTAAGAGTTTTGGGACTATATCACTGATTTTTGGCTTCTCTAATAGAAAGTAATGATTAATTGGGAGAAATTGATGGTTAATTTGAGTAATTGAGTTGTGATTTCCATCAACTATTCAGAAAGATGACTTCATTTATTCTTTGAACGTGATTTTGAGATGATCATTGATGATAAAAAGGACCAGTCTTGATGATATGTGGTACCAAATGTGCAAGGGAGCCTTGCAAATTAGGGTTAGTTGCATGTTTTGGTTGGATGGGAGATTAATTATAACAATCGGCTAAACCCCTCGCAAAATTATGAGAAATTTGATTATAGATTAGTGTAATATATGGTTTTATACTGTGCAACAAAGAATTTGTGTAAAAGTAAAAATCTGTTGTGAATATTGCTTCATGAATGTCTTT